CTGACCTACCTGACCTACCTGACCTACCTGACCTACCTGACCTACCTGACCTACCTGACCTACCTGACCTACCTGACCTACCTGACCTACCTGCCTGCCTCTCTCTGCCTGCCTGCCTCTCTCTCTCTCTGCCTGCCTGCCCACCTCTCTCTCTGCCCGCCTCTGCCCTACCTACCTACCTATTTACCCACCGGGGGCTGCCACAGCAGCTAGCCGCGCAGCGTGCCACGTTCCCACAAACGTCTGCCTCACCCTGCCGCCCCTCGGTATACAAAACAGATTTTTGCTCCTGCCCCCCTACGGGCATAAGGGAGTCCACCGGGGGTGCGTGACGGTGCACAATGCCGTCCAGGTATAGGTTTGTTGGCTCGACACACACACACCCGTCGAGCCCACTATGCCTCCACCCGGTGTTGCGCGAGTACCTTCTCTCATTATGAGATGACAGGGAATGCTATAGAAAAAGCCGCACACTTGACTAGCTGGCTTAATCCGCTGGTCAGGTACAAGTTGTTTTGAGCCAGCGCTGTAATAGCGCCGAAAACAAAAATGAAAAGTCTCAACACATGTAGAAATACATGGCGTTTGAGCGCCTGGTTGTGCGGGCCAGGTCCTCCAGCGATTGAAGCTCACACCTCATCGTGGTGCTGGAGTCTAGTAGCTTGTCCTCTTGGGGGGTTACCCTTTGGGGGGTGGGTGAAGCTAAGATGAGCTCAGTAGGTAGGTAGACAGATAGATAGATAGATAGATAGTTGGGTAAATAATAAAAGAAGAGAATGATGCTATCAATGATATATCAGAGAAGATCATAGTAAGAATATAGTTACTCAAAACCACTACCGCTACCCTCCCACTAGTCACAGTAATATATAGACCACAGACCATCACCTTACCTCGATAGAGATCTCGAGTACAATTGAAACTATCATCATATATTTCCTACCCCACAAGTAAATTACTCCCAAACAACCAACCCAACCAGTGTCTCAATCACACACACACACACACACACACACACACACACACACACACACACACACACACACACAGCCGCCACTAACTCCAAACCCCCTACCCTTTCAAAGAAAAGAAACCAGACAGAAAGATTATCCCTTCAACGGATCATGCCCCCAATTCTTCAGCGACTTATAACTCTTACTATCCGTATCCCGCTTCGCCGTCTCCTCCTGCGCCAAATGCCGTTTACAATACGACACTACCTTTCGCATATGATCGACGTCTTCGTCCGAGTACCCCGACGGGTCCTTGGACGGGTTGTGTTCGAGGATGGAGACGATTTTTCGGCCACTGTCAAACCCCACACATTCATAGACGTATATCGTTAGCTTGGATAGAACCAAGATATTGTGATTTGATTCAGGTAGTTGTGAAGAAGGGATGGAGGCATGCCTTTCATGTCCAATCGTCTCCCCCGACGAGGACGACTCGTTCGTCCAGCCTGAGGACTGCGATTGGGTGCCTTTGAGCCAGTCGCGGAGTTCGTTGGGCGTCATGTTGACGAGGGAGTTGAATTCGCTGTCAGCATTCGCATTATTAGTATGGGGTTTAGGTGGAAGGGGGTTGTTTTGGGAGGGGGTTGGAGAGTACTCGATGACGGTGTCTTTGGATTTGACCATTTTGGTGAGGCTTTTCTGTTCTGTCCTGTCCTGTTCTGTTCTGTTCTGTGGTATGATAGACTGTGAGATAGTGAGGAGTTGGAGGTGATCAGTAGGGAATTGAGAGGGCTATTCTGGCTTTGTAGGTGAGGTTGAGAGTTCCTGACGTCATGTTTCCGGGAACAGATACTTCGTCATCGTTCAACTTTTGGGTGGAGTGGTTCGAGAGAGATAAAGAGGCTTTTGTTGTCTATTTGGTAGAGATTAAGGTTCGGGAAGGTTATTCTTGTTCTTGGTTCTCAAGGTGGATGGGTTTGTTGTTCATTCAGTCATGGCGTGCGATAAATCGAAGAAAATAATCACATTGGTATCGATAGTATTAGAAGGACTAGATATAAGACGCTCACATCCAACTCCAGCAGTCTGCCACCCAAGTCTATACAAAAAGAAATATCACAAATTGGCTCAAGGGCCTGCACTGAGAGCTCTACCGCATTTCTGTATCTGCTTGTAGACCGGCTCCTTGGCGAGATATTCCTCGGTAGCATCCACGATCGTGTCGATTTCATCAATGCCATCGAGAGAGATATCCGCCAATCCGTTGGGTACATCGAACCGGAATAGACGATTTTCGTCATCCAGTTCCGTATGCTCTCGGAGGAACTTGTTCATGTCCACTTCGGTGTCGATGGAATCAGTGCGCGATGACTTCAATAAGCCGAACATCGCTTTGCTGGATCTCTTGATCGAAGGAACACCGGTACCGATGGACACCATGCATCGGATCTGGGTATCCAATGAGCCGGATGGCCATATGCCTCTCGCCTCTATCCAGACTTCTCGCACCGGATTGTTAGCGTCTGTGTTGCTGTTGTAGAATCGCCGTCCGCTTGGTCCGATGGGGACGGGATCGAAGAGCTGCTCCGTGGAGAAGCATGCTCTGCCAGCCTGCCATACTTTGGCGGTCTTGTACAGCTCGTTGGAGCAGTACTTGCTCGGATAGCTTGTCAAGGGTGCTAGATTTCGTTTTGAACCGTCGTCGGTCACGCAAACGTAACTGTGCCGATTAGCATGCAGATTTTTGTATCATTGAGAAAGACTCACACTTTGCAGGGAGACGCTGGCTCTCTTAGGAGAATGTCATCCTCGTAACCAAGCTCGTGAAGAATCGCCTTCATGGCAGTTTCGATCCTGCGACCGTCATATTTCGATTGTCGGCGCAAGTTGCCTCCCACTGGCAGTAGTCGCTTTCGAGCGAATACGTGATTTGACAGCCGCTTATATGCGTTGATGCACTGATCGATATCCATCTCCAATCGACCAAGCATAATGGCTATCAACCTATGATATGGAGCATTAGTGATGAAACCCCGATCGGGATGATTCGTGCACCATAGAATGCCTACCCGCCTGATCCCGAGCCTCCTATCAAATCAAAGTACTCGCATGGCTTTGGTGTGTTCTCAGGATCGATGGATTCCATGATATGCTTCAGAATGTAAAGGGAGGATAATCCGCGGACACCCCCGCCATCGAGGCTGAGGAGACTGATGTTCCTCACCATGGTGTAGACGGTAATGATGAACTTCAAGGTGAGCTCAGAAACCAACGTGGTTCAGCCACCATGAGCCACGGATCCCGATACTATTTATATGCCATCAGATTTGACACCGAACACTGCCTATGGAAATCTTCGCCTCGAGATAATGACGCAATCTGTCAACGGCTGATCGGGCTCAAAGCATTATCGGGGCTGGTATCAGTGCAGCCAGTGAAGACGGTTCATGAATTAATTCCGGCCCGACGTATTGATCGACATTGTCCATGCGGATTCTAAGCAATAGCAAATGAGATCAAAGCCTCGCTTCTTTGGGCACGTTGGAGCGGACGGCTAGTGCGCACTCACCGTCTTTTCCAGGCTCCATTCGACGCAGCTCGTTTTATCATGGTGGGGGAGCATGCCGGGCTGGGATTTAACTTCAAGCAGCCACAGTTCATAGGCGGGGTGACAGCCACGTAGTCAGAGCTTAGCGCCGTCATCCTTGGGTGAAGCAACCAGCGGCCCATGCTCATTGGGACTTCGGGTGGAGGATATGATGGTGCCTAAAGTTGATCATCGCATCGAGGAGATATTTGCATTAGCTTTATCTGGATGATATAGCCCTTGCATTATCTTCTGTTGAAGATAGAGAATGATTCTCATGGATGCATGGAGAGTGGGGGAACCGCGAAGGCCGCAATTCAGTTCATCCCAAAGTCATCGGACACCTCATCGACACCTGAGGCATACAGATACCAAGAATACACTAGTGCCAACGATGGCGAAGACCATCACTATGAGGCATCATACTCGGTCTGCACAAGGTGCGGACGCCTTCTAAGGAAGACCCTCGGGGGAAATACACACTTTGCCCTTCGAAAATTGACTGCACCCTCATGAGTTGGGAATTGATACAATATTCATAACCTGTGCCTAAACTAGCAGGTCGGGTATTCAAGAGAAGCCCCTGCGGGCTTCTCATGCGTCTCGCTTACAATAGACCTCGTGTTCGCGTGGACTGATCATCCGTCTGTGAAACATATTCTCGAGTGTGACTACACTCCTACCGCATCTTACATATGTATACCCATTTGCGTCATTTGCTGTCAAAAGAGTCCAACACAACGTGGACGCTAGGCTGCAAGAGTCATGCCTAAGGCAGCGTGTAGCCGCCATCAATCACGAGGTTGGCTCCCGTCATATAGCTCGAGGCATCGGAAGCGCAAAACACATAGGCCTGAAACATTAACAACTGTCCATCGTTTCGGATAAAGGAGGTAGCGAAAAGTCACCAGGCAGAAGCTAACTTACTCCTTTGAGTTCATAGGCATCAGCCATTCGCTTAGCCGGCACCATGTCGTTCCATTTCTCGCGCCATTCCAGAGGGTGGATATCGAGGATTTCTGTGGCTATGAACCCCGGGGAAACGCAGTTGACCCGGCAAAAGTCAACCCACTCAACAGACAGACATTTTGCCATCTGCACGACCCCGGCTTTGGAGGCATTGTACTGGACCATGCTGATTAGTACACACCCTAGAATCGACATAGAATGCAACATACCGCTGCTTGCTTCTGAGGCACATTCACCAATGTTGCACTGACAGAGGCCGTGAAGATGACATTCCCATGTCCTTGTTGCTTGAAGATCCGAGAAGCCGCCTGCGCGCTATAAAACGCGCCATCTAGATTCACTTTCATAATGTCACGCCATTGTTCCGTGGTGTAGTCTTCCGCCGCGATATTGGAAGTGACTCCCGAATTCACGACGATAATATCGAGCTTGCCAAAGTCTGAAGCGATCTGTTGGATTACCCTTTCGATATCCTCCTGATTTCCAACATCCGCCTTATAGGCAGCTGATTTCACGTTATTCTGGGTACCGATCTCTTCGGCAATGGCCTCTGCCGCTTTAGAAGAGTTGTAGATCAGGGCCACCTGCGATAGTCAGCACAAGGCGGCTTGGTAGAACGCTTGATCTTACATTGGCACCAGCTTCTGCGAGGGCCCTCGAAACCTCAAGTCCAATACCCCGGGCGCCGCCTGTGATCAGTTAGAAGCTGCTAATGTTGCTCTGCCGGGAAGGTACCTGTAATGGCAGCAACCTTGCCGGTGAGGTCGAAGGCCTTCAGGACGTGCTTGTTCTCGGGCTTAGAAAGAACCATGGTGGCGGTATGACTGAAAAATGGTTGAGATTATGCTCATGCAACATAGCGAGCTTTGTGTCGGTGAAGTACTCCGTGCGACGTAGGGAACCCCGCAATAGACCCCCGCAGCGGAGGTCCTCCGAGAATGGCACGTGGTAGTTATTTGTCTGAGCGCGCCTCATCTGAAGTATCACAAGATCTCACAATTCATAGAGATAGCTATCATCCACGAAATTAGCCTGATGAATAAGACTGTGTGCCGATAGTTGTTTGTGCTTCTCAAGGGCATCCCCAGAAAACCGTAACGAATCAAGCGCCATCGCTGCTCCAAAATGCCCATCACGCGTCTCGTAGGCCCCAATCAAGAGACTGAGGTCTGAGATCATCCGCTGAGCATGGGCAGACGATACAAATCTTTCCTTGATAAAAGCTAGGCATTCTGCAGCATTAGAAACGGCGGATTCTGATGTTAGCTGCGGCCGCACGTTTGGCATATGAGCGAGAAAGAGATTGAGGCGTGCAGCCTGATAGGCGCATCTCGCAATATCGAATGAAAAGAGGACTTGGAGATTCATCTTTCGAACTTTCTTAATGGATTCTATTATCCAGTCACTGTGTTCCTGACATATTTCCTGGGCTTGGCTAGCATAGGTGCTTGATCCCAAGGGACGTAATACCACATCAGGGGCCGCATTGGGATGCCCGAGAAGGAAGAGGCGAAACAGGTCACAGTGTGCCTGACGCCAAGCGAGTTGGATCTCTAGAGATCTCACAACCCACCGGAAGTTTGGCTGGATTATGGTTCCAGTGGCCGAAGAACCCACAACGGACGCTATTTTCTCCTGAAGCTGAGTGAGGTTCATTTGGAATCCTTGCACAATACCCTGAAACTCTTTGAGAGGCTGCTCCAGCAGGGCCAACTGCCTAGTGAAGCGCATGATATCTCTGCGCACCCTGGAAATACGTAGTATCAGCTCCAGCATGCTGTAGTGAGCTTTGTTTTCAACCCGAGCGGTGGAAGGGCCCCGTATTGTGTCGGGATCCGTTGAGCCAAATTCCTCTTCACGACACGGATATTGCTGGTATATCTCTTCATAATTTATCGTGCTGTAGCCGGGAAGCCCTACAGAAAAGTAACCATCTAGTAGTGCCATCGTCCAAGCAGCTCTCCGCCGAATCTCCTGAGTGACAAAGCTGAGGTGTGGGCTTTCATGCTTCAGCTGGAGAGCAGTCACATGGCGGCTCGCAATGGAAGCCATCATGAAGGCCCTTTCGAACCGGCCAACTTCGGCATGATACTGGATAATCAAGAAGAGTGCCTGCAATCTGAATATTGAAGGCGTCTCGATCATGTCCCAGATCCTCTTTTCCGAAAGTTCGATCAATGACATGCTTTCGGAAGGCTGAGACTGAGACCCAGATGGTCTGCACCTTAGTTTTACCAAGGCGCACATAGATAACACGAGACTTGGCTCGAGCGTTTGAGCAGCACACATTCGCCGAATCGAGGGTTCGTGAAGGAAGCTGTAGGAAGGCAAGGGATACAGGTGCAAGAAATAGTCATCGAGGACTCCATCTAACTCCGCTCCGTCCTTTACAGGGTAAACTCTGATAGAAATCAGCGGCGCGATCAACTAGAAAACGCTCATAACGACCGTCATACAGTCCTTGCTGCAGCTCATTCAGGGAGACCAAGCGAGTGGAAGACTTGACTGTCAATTTTCCATCTCGATCCTGAGATAATTGGCGAGCTCCTCTAAAGGCTGGATATTGGCATTCCTGATGGCGTCGGTGACAGTTATTGCACTGTGGCGTCTCACCTGAACATCGGGCTTTTTGAAGACGGCAATAGATGCACGCCCGAGTTCCACGACGTCTTCCGGGATGGCCACGGTCATGCCTCGGGCGCCCCGGGGATGGGTTATCCCTCTCATAAGAGCATGCATGCTTTAACCTCTCGCAATTGCCACAAGTGTACTTTTTACGGTCGCAGCGAACCTATAATGTCTTAACGACTAAGAATAGATGCGGGGTGAAAAGCAAACGTATCAAATGGAGGCTTACCTTGCGCGACCGACACTGAGAGCACGGAGGTGCAGATTTCCGATCATGGTGGTTATCCATGTGCGCTCACAATGTGTATCATCAAACACGCGATCGGGATATTTGTTAATCAATAAATTACTAGCACTAGCTGGATCTACTTACATTCGACGATTGTCCAGCTTGTATACCAACGTGGACGCTATTGCGCCTTAGAGGCGTGCGATGGCGTCAGCCCGATGTACCTGCAGCCGACGGATAGCAAGTTGACAAACTCCGATCGTAGTTCCCATACTAATCTCCGTAGGCTTGCAGGCCTGGCGCATACTATAGTGCAGGTAATACAGCAGAAACTGAAACTACTGGTTCCATGTGAGATGTATTCTCCGATGAACCACGATGCCGACCGTAAGACACGGGAGCCTTTCCGAGCCGCTCGTCGTGTTGACTGAACTTAGAGCTGTGCCCAGTCTCATCTTTAGTGACTGGTCTCGGGTATTTTTTTCAGCTGAAAGGTACTGAATCTCTTTCCTTACAATAGTAGTAAGAAATATGGCTGTTCCTTCCCAAGCAGATATCAAGCTATGAGAATCACTGCATGAGTATAATGACATTGCGACAGGTATATCCTTCGACTCAAGTGCACGAGAGGATGCTCATATCTCGGCAGTCTTGCCCTGAAATCTGAGCGCCGCTGATTACTTCATGATTGTGTTGCTGTGCGCCTGATTCCGAATAGGACGAATGTGCTGACCTTTGGAAAGTGTCATCAGCACAGTCTCTTCAGAGAAGGAAGTTCGGCTGCCGAATGCAACAGAGGCCAAGGCAAGGACTTGGATTACACTTCACGCGAACAGAGTATTTCACCCGGTTTTTCCACATAGACCGAGACCAGTACGAGTAATCCATACCCTAACTTTGCGGATGGGGTATAGTCTAGAGCAATGCATCCTCCCACGATAGTCGCATGCACTGGCTCACTGAAGCCCAGGCTGCCGAAAGAAGGTATAATCAGTCTTTCAAAGACGGAGAAGACTCTGACCAGAGACAGGCATAAGCCATTGTAGGCATCAAGAGTCATGGGAACGCCCAGAAGTCGGCCAGATCCACGCGGACATTGGACAAAGAACACGGAGGCTATGTTCTAGGAAAAGCCATGCGTGATTAACGAGCAACTAACGATCTTCGCAAAAGTGTGGACAGAAGGAGAAGGAAAAGGGGGTGGATAATCGGCCGAGCTCGGCATCGCGCCTTCCGTTTGTAGATGTTGGCGAACTGCAACGTTATCAGAGCCCACCATCACAATCCATTCCAGCCAAGTCATTTGCCTCTGCCTTCATTTTTGCAGGGCATCACCTCACGTACTTTCTCGGCCTTCAGTCTTTGCATCCTCGTGATGTCTCATGGGCTGCAATGTGAAGATTGCCTGCCACAGTGTCTACCAATCAAGCCCAAGTTTCTCGACTGCTTTAGCCGACATCGTCATCGCAAGATACATAATCTGTCGGGGCGGTAGAAAGAACCCGAGAACGCCTGTGTCACCTCTTGGAAAATAACTTCAGATCGCACTTGATTATGGCTCTAATTTGTTGGATGTGAAGGAACTTGCCTGTGACTCCTTGCTCGACCTGGGCATCCAGGGTCACCCCTGGTACCTGGTACCTCGTGTCTTCGCCATCAAGGTATCTTCATACACCTCGCTTAGACTCCCACTGTGTGCCCCGCGCATGTGCCAGTTCTCTTCTGGGCATAGATGTCCCGGATCAATGGGACATGTTGGCAATAAGGATATCCCGGCTGAGGTTCAGTCTGAGTAGCATGACTAACTAGGAGCCCATGACATTAAGTCTAGCATGGGCCGGTTTGATAGGGAGCCATAATCAAGGAACGCGCTGTGATGTCGGACAGCCCTTGAAGGCTGAGAAACGCACGTGGTAGTGCGGTGAACAGCATCAGGCAGGCTGGTTTGAAACTCACATCGAAGATATCGAAACAAGTTCGTTCGGCTTATGCGCCGGTGGGTATGTCTCAATTCAGATTATTGTCATATTTAGAACATTACACGAGAGCTAAGTCCAAGCCACAGGGCTCAAATATCTGACATAATAGCTTGAATGAGAGAATTACTCATTGACCTGTGTTCATCTTCAGATGGTCCTTCGGCATCCCCAGGGGCTCAAGCAGCCTTTGTGGGCTTTCCCTTGCTCAAAGCCTGCGATCGCGTGCCAAACCAACCTGGATCCTCTCGGCTTTCTGACCGAGCTATTGGTTACCAAGTTTGAATGGCTCAATTTTCGAAAACCGACAAAAATTGTCACCTCTCGTAGTCAAGCTTTGGTAAGAATTTAGTTTGATTATTATTTGGCTTTTCGGTGGATTTTTTACTGAGCCGAAAAGTACTGGCAGCGTCTTATGCCGTGAGTTGCTATCGGTGAAGCTGAGACCAATGACGGAAGACCTGGAGAATTAATCCACAAGCGATAATGCTTGTTGAGGTGTCATACTAGAGTGCGCCTGACCACAATCATTCCAAACGTGGATATGAGCAGGCGCATGGCTTGGATATTGATGCTTTTGTGGGATCTGTAAGAAAAGTCGAGCAGACCCGAGAGGGGCCGAGCCGTGTTTGCTTCTTCCGCCCACGTCTCTTGTGGTGGCTGCAGCATCACAGTGTTGGGAGAATATTTACCGCTTGCGGTTGGACTGCCACCGCTGCTTGGCTCGGATGATGCGAAAATAGCCGAGCTGCAGAGTACCCTCTGACCTCTTCTGGAATGGGGACTCACCCAGGCATTCGAGGCAATGAACTTGCAAAGCCTTGCCTCAGGCGGGTGGCCTAAGTTGAACAACAAGAGAACAGTCAGAGCTATTGTCGCAGATTTGAACAGTGTTTCGCCTGATATCGTCTAGTGCGCATCTGGGGGACGATCCGACTATAATTATCATCAGCCTTATCTTTATTAACTTGGGACATTTCATTGCTCGAAGATTGGGGCTACCAGCTTGACGGGAATGATCTGATACGTCGAGCGGCCTGTGGGTGTGCCTGAGCGGAGGCTATACGAT